TCAGCATCCTTTTGCTCTTCTTAAAAATCCATCCCGGAGCTTCCTGGCCACTTTCGTTGCCTATTTATAATGTATGGGCCCTCCAATTTTTGGTTCTGTTGCTTGTCCTAAAGCACTTCTTATCAATCACAACATGAAGTTGATATATGGACCTCCATGTAGCCTAAGAAATGCATACTAAAAGTATGCAGATTGTGATTCTAATTAAAAAAACCTTTTACTGGCATTTTAGCAAGATATTCCCATCTTCCTTTTGATCAAGTAAATTATAAAACAACGTTAACTCACCTCTCGTTCTTCCATTACACTTCGTCAGGAGCATATGCTAAATGCCTAAATGTTCCAGAACATGCAATGATAGGCGTTGCTTAGGAGCAGCAAAAGCTCTTTCCCAGCAGAATCCTCTGCAGTACCTGGCACACGGCTGGGTGTTCGTAGGAGACTCGGGAGGCTGTGGGTTCTTCTGTCTGCCTGCTATGGCTTGCCATCTTCCGTCTTCAGGTTCTTGTGGAGACTTCCTCTTTCATCCTTGGGGGCCCCACGGGGTTGTCATCATGAGGCCCCATCCCCTGACCACAGACAGGGTGGGTCTGTGACCCTTAGTGGCCGATTCCAGAACATCATCCCCCAACATGGCGCCTCATTTAGAGACAGGTGCAAGACTCCACATCTGGGGTCTCCGTCTTGGAAGGAAGCGGAGCAGGGGCAGGCTGGTGACGTCCTTGGAACCATCGTATCCAGCGGTGCTTGAGGTCCCCAGCAGGACTTCTGCGTCAGGTCAAATACCATTGGCTTTTTTTGTCTCCACAAGTTTAAGTTGGATTTCTGTAACCTGCAACCAATGGAGTCCTAATTTATCTAGTATTTTATTTGAAAAGTTGAAATAATCATGATATTAACCAGTCTGCCTGGAACCCTTTCCTTTTCTTAACATCCGGGGTTATAACACACGCTCATTTACATGCTTACAATTTCAATGACATATCTGAGTTCAAGACACACTTAGCCTAGAAGCTCATGTCAAACAATTCTTTATTTTTTACGGTACAAATTAAAAGTGACAGATCTGAAGCTGTTAAGAAATACACAAAGTGCAGCTTTACTGACCATACAGATATTGCTCTAGATTAAGTACAGTTTTGTCAGTTTTTTTTTTTTTTTTTTTAAACGTTAAGCAACCTGTGCAGATAAATCAGCTTTGGTTTCAATGTCAGAGCAAGTAAGGAGCTTTTAAATATCCAGTTTGGCTTCTCGGTCACAAGTCCATCATGTCAACTTCTCATCATGATGATTTTTTTTTCAAAACAACCCAATAGGTTTTCCTGCCCTCCTTCCTGCTGTCTCCCCCATGCGGGGAGCAGGCAGCTCTCTGTGGGGCCTCATCAGTGACCCTGGTGACCAGTCTAGATCACAGCACGTAGGACAAAAAGAAAAAAAAATCACTTTCTTAACAACAAATAAAACAAATGTGCCTCACATAATTTCAAGTTGAAGACAAGCAAACCACATGACGAAAGCTCATTACAAAATGTTATCCAAACAGATTTTACACTCAAACATTGAAATGAAAATCAATTTCCTTTTTCTCCATTTTTTTAAGCTTGGTCATTAACTGGGTACAAGTAGAGTGCTGAGGTAAAACATTGATGAACAGTTTGTGTTTCTTTTTTTTTTTCTTAAAATAGGAACAGTTTAGTATTGCGAGATTGTCAGCAACATTTAAGCCATATCTATACAATGTGCATATACCTACAAATATTGAGCTTTGGTCCAGCGTAGAGAAGATGAGCAAAGGCATTTTACAATTTCTTTTTGGTTATAGCTTGAGTTCTTTGATACGCCTCTACTTGGTTTTCTTTTTTCCTAGCTCCTTTTGCTTTTTTGTTCTCTCTCTTGTGGGGTGTGTGTGCGTGTGTTTGTGTGTGTGTGTGTTATGTGTGTGTATGCGTGTGTATGCGTGGTAGTGTTGGGTGATTACAACATATAGAAACCAAAACCTTGCAATACAACTAAAACCCTCAGTTGTTAAATATGGTTTTTGGTTGAAAAAAAGCCTACAAACAAGGGTGAAACAGAACATCAGTCCTTTCACTTTTTTATCAGACAATGAAGGAAATGAACATGACCATAATTTAAGACTACGTAAGAAAAATATTGAAGCTTGAAATACAATCACATATGCCCGAAGTGGCTTTTATTTTTTGTTAGTGGCAACTTTATCCTTCAGTTCACGGAAACATAAAAGACACTTAAGAGTTACTGGCATATACGAAGTTGTTTACAAGTGGAAATAAGAAATGTCATAATAAAATTAAGCAGTAGGTGAGGTCCCGAAGACTTACAAGTCACACAGTATAATTTATATTCCTAAGAATTTGTTCAGGCACCTTTTTATGCCTTGTAGCAAAAAATTTATCTGTAAAAAATTAATATAAGAAGCATTACAACACCTTATAAATAATTTATAAAACAATACAAAATTATAAAACTATAAAAAAAATCACTGCACATGAATGGTTTTATGACTGTGGGATGAATATATTTCTATTTTATTCCACTCTGGAAGATTACTTTTCTTTTATATTTTCACTGTCCTAGTTATACCCTCCCAATTATAGATCTCCGAACGGAGCAGGCCTTATGTAACTGTTGCTGGCTTATGTTTAAACATTTAGCATCCATCATATGTCCTCTGGTTAACTTCTCTTCCTGGGGAGCCTCTCTTGATGGAATTTAGAGCAGGTCCGAGGGGAATACAAAATCTGTCTAATCGATACATTTTTGGATTTCCGGGTTGTTGGTCTTTGTGTGCAGTTTTGGAGGTGGTGAAATGTGTACCATGATGTCATTGGCATTGAAGATCAAGTTAGCTGTGGTCCAGTTAGCCTCAGACTGGTGGATTGGAAATGCCTTTATAAGCAAATAATTCCACCCGCAGCATTTCCTTTTGAGTTTCCTTGCCGGTGGTCTCCTGATTGGCGCAGGAACTGTTCGGCTGGGGGGGGGGGGGGCAGGTGGGTGGGTGGGGACAGTCCTGCCATTGCACTGACACCTGCAAAGGGCCCCACAGAAGAAGAAACACACACTCCCGGGGGGAGGGAGAGCATTAGGGGAGGAAGATGACATTTCTATTCAGCTGGGCAACTTGAGCGTTTAGTTTTTTTCTTTCTTTCACAATTTACTTCTAGAGAGGACATGAGCGTGATTTGTAACTAGTGACTCGAGAATATTTGCATTGAGACAGCCGGCAGATCGGTGGTTCCCTTTGCCGGCTCCTTAGACCAAACGCATCGTGCCTGGCTCTGGGGGAACCGCTTGGCCACCTGCCCGGCCATCCTCATGTCTCACCTTTTCCTTCTGGCTCATCAGGTGATTCTGGCCCAAGTACCTTTCGAGTAAGTTATTTTGAAAACAGAACTAATCCCCTCGTTCTAGTGGTGAAGGCTACTCTGACGTGTTAGATAAGCCGCTTCTAGAATTTTCCTTTCGGTGGAGGTACTTCACTGTTACAACTTCTGTTCCCCTCAAGAACCCAGCCCCCAATCCCAATCATTTAAATTCATCTTCCAACTTTCTGCTCCATTTGTAAATGTATATCCCAAGAACAATGGCTCCCCCTGCCCTGAAAAAAGTCTGCCATCCCTACTGGAATGAAAAGAGTAGGAGAAAAGATGGGACTTACAGGATACATAATGGCCTCTAAGGATCCAGTTACCACCCCTTTCTTTTTGGCCTGTTGTCTTTGTGTGCGTGCATGTGGGTGTGTGCGTGCTATGTGTGTGTTCTGACTGAAATCTTGAGACATTTCTTTGGCTATCAGACTTCTGAGAGAAATTGCTTTGCACAGAAGCATAACATAGATGTAAGTATTGAACCAAATGTGCAGTTTATGTTTATATTACAAAATTAGTTTTGGTCAGCTCTCCATGTACGTGGCCAGCAGACTGAGAAAAATCCCAAGCTCTGGTGTGGACAGTGAGTACAATTACAGCTTCTGCCAGTGTTGACAGTTCATCGAGCAAAGCCCTAGATATTTTGGAGTCTCTCCTGCATTTCGCTGGGATCTGAGTGGAAAAGACACCGTTCCCACTCGGTGGCCCCCCTGTAGACCCTGGAGGCTGCACCCGAGGGAGATGGAGAAATGGAGGAAGAATGAGAAATGCGAGCTCCATTTTCTTTTCTCAAACCCACAAGTCATAGTGAGAAGAAAGCAATGGATGCTTTGGCACACGATCCAGGATGCCCCCTCCCCCCCCAAAAAAAACAAAACCAAGACAAAGAGAAAAGAACCCCCCACCCCAAATGAAAACCAACAGTAAGCCTCAGAGGATGGCTTCAGCAATGACACCCACCTCACAGATGAGAACAGAGATGGGTAAGACAGGAGAAATCAGGCTTCGTAAGTTTCTTTTACATACAAATGTAAAAATTCGTAACACAACTTTACACGCAGAGAAGAGTAGACCAACGATCGCGTTTGCAATGCCATGTTTCTGACTTTGGTTAATAGGGTTTCAGAGTGAATCAGCACTTAGAACCTGAAAGAATGCAGTTCCTCCTCCAGGTGGCAGGCTTGTATTCGCTTGGAACAGATGCAAGTTTTTTGTTTTGTTGTTGGGTTTATTATTTTTTTCTTTCTTTCTTTCTTCCTTTTTTGTTTGTTTTTTTGGTTTAGTTGTTTTTCTTTTTCCTTAAAATGTGTTCACATTTTCATAATATACAGAAAAAAGTATGTGGTTATTTGGTTTGCTTTAAGTCCATTAGAAAATTGGCTTCGGGGAGACGGGCGGACCAGGGGACTATCCTACCACACACACCTGCAGGTGCGGTGTGTGCCTTGTTTAAAAATTTTCAAAAATGTTTTTTTTTTTTTTTCATTTTTGGAAAACCAAAGGACACGTATAAACCATTCTGTCCACTTGGTAGTTTTCTTAGTCTCTTTACTTACAAGGGTGACGACTGGGGCTCTCTTTTGACTTTGTTTTCAATGTAGTCTTTTTCTTCTTCTTCTTCTTCTTGTCATGAATTCTGATTTGTGGCGTCCGAGGGCGGAGTTTAAGTTTCTGTGGGTTTTGCTTCTGCTTGCAGGCTGGGTGTCTCTTTAGGAGTTTTCTTCCAGAGAGTCTGTCAAGGGCTCCAGGGGGACTGCTGTGGCCGGCTCGTGCTGTTTTAAGCGCTTAATTGTGTTCTTCAGGGCTTGCCTCTTATTGCAGAACCAAACTCTAACTACTTCCCGGTCATAGTTCAGCTTCTCGGCAATCTCGGTCATTTCCTGCCCAGAGGGGTGTGTGTTCTTCTCAAAGTGGGCATTGAGGATCTCAAGGGCCTGGGGTGTGAAGGAGGTGCGCCGCTTGCGCTTTTTGGATGGCTCACTCCCGATAAACTCGGTCAGGTTCTGCATACCTGCTCGATGGCGGGCCTCAGCCTCAGCCATCCACCGCTCAAGCACCGGCTTGATCTTCTGGGCACTTTTAGGGGTGATGTCCAGCTTTTCAAACCTGGCAGGATACAAAAGGCCAGGGTTCAGTTTGGCTGTCAGACTGCTAGCTATAGTGTTCTCTTGGGCTTCCTGTGGTAGGAAAAAGTGGCTTCTCAGGATGGTGTGTCTGGGGGGAGAATTGAGAAAGAACAGTCTTACACTGAGTCCTCTGCCAGGGTGGGCCTCCTGCCTGCCTGCCTGCCTGACCGCCTGGCAGAGCGAATTCACTCCGGATGAGCAGCCAGCTGCAAGGCAGCCGTCCCCCCCGCTCAAGCCAGCGCCCCCCGCCCCCATGCATGTTCATGCCCCGCATGCAGCCCGCACAGCCACACGGATGGGGGTGGGGAAGGGTGCAGACGGCAGGACCCGCAAGCCACCACGATGGAAACAGAAACGACCCGCCCAAGGGGCGTCGGAGACAGCAGCTGTCACGTTCTTTCATTTAAAACGACTCTGTTGTATGGCTTCCGTTTGGTTTTCCCGAAACCCCTCCCATGGACTCCATTATGAAAATGTTGTAAGTTACCAGTCGAGTCAGGGATGACGCTGGGTCGCGGTTCTTTTCATCTCTGTTTAGTGTCTCATTTTAATCCCTCCCTCCCTCTCTCTTTCTCCGTCTGTCTGTCTCTCCCCCCCACCCCTGCTCTCTCTCTGGTAACAAACAATTTGCACCATATGTCAGTTAACAACTTGCCGGCTTTCCAGGTAAAACACGGCCTGTTGCTACTTTACTGGGGGGACTCAGCAGCTGGACACCTTGTAATTGCTACGAATAACCCCCTCCCCGGATGTGCGAAGGCTACCTCATGCCTTTCAAACGCTGTCCAGCGTAATGGGGTACTTTGGCACCAGGGCATCAAGCTGTGTTTAATGTGTGATATCTGCAAACAGTACTCCCATGATATTATTTTCTGTAAATGAGGTCTTCTATGTATCAATCGCCATCAGCAATTCTTTGCTACACTGATTTTAAAAAATATGAAGCATCTCGGGACAAAATTACATGGAGTGTTTTAAGAGGTCATCCTGGTATCCAATTCAGCCTCACGCTCAATGAAATACACAGAAGTGCCAGTTGCTTTTATTCCTTCATTTGTTTATCCTAAATCCAAATTCACGGCCCTCCGGTATGATGACTTCGGATACACAGATCTCCTCTTTGGATATGCTCTTTTTAAGTGTTCAGTGTATCGGAAGACAACCGTCTGACTGCAGAGTGCATCTTATTGAGCTAAAATGAACCTGCTCTCGCCAGAATATGCTTTGTAAGGACGCTTGCAGAAGGACACAAAAGGATAGGCTTCCTTTATGGGCCATAATCTTATCTTTGACACAGCATTTTAGATATTGCGATAAGCAGTGCAAACAGTATCAAGTTTTAATGTGATTTCCATAGCATTGCCTTCCGTGTAGAGTTCAAGGGGTTATTTGTTTATTTTTTTATAAAACCCAACTTCCACTACTGATCAAAGGGGGAAGAAGTACATTTCGCTTTCAATAGAAAATGAACTAATCGTCTAATTTCATTTAATGAGCTTGCCACAAAGCTCTAACTGTGGTGGTAATTTGCTACCTACCACATTTTACCATAAAAGCTACAGAGCTTAAACTCTGGATAGTGTGACAACAGGCTTCACAGTGCCTCGGTGTGACGGACAAAGCTTGCAATAGGGATGGTCAGCGTGTTGGTGGTGTTTCCTTCTCTGCGTCTCTGTTAAGGAGGCACTTGTCGGAGCCGTGCCTGGAAGTCACCATCGCTCATAAGTGACACCTGGGTGTGCAGGCTCAAATGCAGATTCCTTCCCTCCCCTTCAATAAACGTGAATCGTTCTAACGTCAGATCTCCATCTCTTTCAAGACTTTCATTTTTTTTCTCTTGGTCGTTAGGTCCTAAAACTAGCTCACCCAGACCCTAGCAGCTAGAGAAAGGCTGTAAAGTCAAGGCTTCTGGCACATTCTGGCATACAGTGAATTCCCAGGGTCTCTCTCTCTCCATTTCAGCCATAGCTTTCTTGGCTTCCCCTGGGGGAGACTTTAGAAATCTACATATTTGATTGGGAATGCCTTAGACACTCTATGGGTGTTGGTGAAAACATCAGATGGCACTTAAGCCAATAAAAGGAAATCACATTTTAGGACTAAAAATAAGTCAGAGAGGACATTAGCAAAAATAACAAATGGACAACTTAAAAAAACCTGTGGCTGCCTTCATCACAAGGCTGTCAAGATGAAACAAAATTAATGTTTCCCAACAGGGAGCAACAGTATTCATATCATTGATGCTGCTTGTTAGTGTTGATGTTCTGTCGGTGTTGTTGGGAATAACATATACAAGCCTTGAAACAAATTTCCCAGCAGTAGTATCCTTGTATAGACTGAATAAAGGTTATTTTCTACAGGGAGGTATCTTATAAGAAAAAACAGTAGGGGAGACCATAGAAGTGAGAGGATCCTATGGTGCTTTTTGTATTTAACAACAATCAATGGGTTTTATGGAAAATCATTGAGCAAAATGTGAGCTGCAAGCTACTACCCCATATTGATGTTATTTATAACCTTAGTCTTAAACTGCAGGAAAAGTACACTTCCGTCCTTTGGGGAATACATTAAAAGTATAAAGAGCAGATAAAAAGACAGCATTTCATGGATCACCAAGAACAAAATCCACTTAAATGAGTTTAGAGTTGGTTTCTTGGCTTTTCCTGATGGAGGAGGACTCATAAGGCATTGCCCAAGAGGAAAAAGCTCTTACAGAAGTGCCTTTGTTACCTCATGCATAAACATGGGATTAGTGAACACACACACACACATACACACATGCACAGGATCTGCTGCTGGCGGCTTGACCCAGATCAACTTGAACACAACCAAGGCTGGATTCTGTCATTTATGTATTTTAGTTTTTTTTTTTTTTTTGGAGGGGTGGAGACAGGGTAAGCCAGATTCTCACTACCCCTTTCTGAGCCATGTAAAGCAGCTGCTTCTTTGAAAAAAAAAAAGGGGAGGGCCTTTAGCGTTGTGTCTGGGAAGGCAGTGTTAAAGCATTCCTTTGCGGTCACGAGATGGTTAATTTTCTTTTTAAGGTGTATTTCCTTGGAAAAATCCCGATAGCCGTCCCTGGGCCGAAATGGGGGGAGTGTTAACACCCGTTGGGACAGGCAGCTTTATGGCTTTTGCTCAGGATACCTGTCTGCAGACAGGAGAAGGGGCGGGGGGGGGGGGGGTCTCAGCTGCGTAGGAGGAGGGGTCCAGAAGGAAACTTCTGGCCCACGGTGGGGGATTTCCAATGACACTGCCTTCTTTGTGAGTTGACAGGAGTTATCAAGCCAGGCCCCCGCATCTGCTTTAGCACCTTCGTTTCTGTCCATGTCACCGATTCCAACGTATAAGTCCCCCCAACCCCCCCCAAACTTAGTTCCCATACTCTACCCCTCCAGCTCTGCCCACCCGAAGAAGAAAAGCTGAGCCATGAGGACAAACGAGGCCCAGGCCGGCCAGGAGAGGTGACAGCATGTGGGCACGGGTTACCTGCAGATGGCCGACTGGCTGTACGCGGGGCCCTCTGTAGCACTGAGAGCCTGTCCCACCTGAGTCTGGGTCAGGCCAAGGGACAGGCGCCGGATTTTAAAAGCTTTGGCAAATTCTCGGATCTCCTCCAGATTAACCCCATCCACCTCACCCGCTGCCGTTTGAGGATCTGTGGAGATGTTTTTAAAAATAGGATCAATACGTCAACACACACCCAAGCAATATCTGTTTATTACGGCTTCTAAGAAAGTGGCTCTCTTTAACAGCAGATGGTGGGAAAACTGACATTGTAGAATGTTCTCTTTGTCTCCCGAGTGAGGCACCCAGGGCCCCATCCTCAAGGCGTTACACCTCCACAAATCACCCCTGGGGATGTTTCTATCCCAGATAAAACCACAGGGAGTTCACACGGCCACTTCCAAGATACAAGAGCGTGTTCCCCTGGGCTTAACCCGTCACAACCAGGGCAGGGAGGCGTGAGCCAGGGGATGCGACTCCATTTTGCCCATTGATAGGCTCAAATATTGTGCAAAAACATAAATAGGGTAAGGTTTCAATTTGAAATGTCTTAATTGGGTTCTTTAGGGCTAAAAATTGCCCTTGAGAAAAAGAGGATTTTGTTTTGTCCTTCACCAGATCACTGAGGCAGGCAGGCTAACAGATGGTAATGTTGTCTAATTTCTTACGTTCCTGTTAGCCCCTCGGAAGAGCATGCTTATGAAGCTGTGAGAATAATACTGTATCCCCGCCCCCCCCCCCGCCCCCGCCCATAGCAGTTTACTGACACGATGCCTTTGTCCCCTAAAAGGGCACATAATAAAAAATGCCTACTGCAGGAAGGCTCCTTTGGTCCCGGATAACACGGTCAATTTAGGACTTATCAAGGGAAATGACAAAACAGCTGGAGAAGGAACCCCCCCCCCTTCCCGCTACTGATCCCCGGATAAATGATAAATGAAAGCATAAACCAAGCTGGAGACAGCATGGGTTGGGGATAGGGGAAGATTTCAAAGTGCTGCTCGCTCCTGCCTGGAGCGAAGCCCTTCTCCCTGCGAGCTGACTCTATTGTTCTCCACCTCATTCCTCGGACTTCGGTGAAAAGTTTTTCGCTTCCTCTTTCTGCACAATAATCCATCAATTTCAGTAAATTCAAGTGCTTGTCTAGGGACTCTGGTGGACTAGATTCGTCTTCCGGGCTCAGGGCTACAGAAACTCCTGTTGTCGGAAGAGAAATAAACATTTGCATTTCAAGGGCCAATTGTTCAAAGACTTTTGAATAAACATGTTAGTATCTGTGGGGGGCTTGGAGCTTCCAGTCCAGGTCTTCTCATTACAGGGGAAATGGACTCTGTCAGTAGGATCTGCAATACACTTATGCACGGTACCTTCTTTATCTTCACCTTAAAAAATGTCCTGTAGAATTTTTGCATGTCATTCGTTGTAAGTTTGTCAAGGAAAGATTGAAAAGTGGTACAACCACTGGGACCCTGTGAGTATTTCTTAAGTGACTCCTGGGCGTCCTACTGAGTGTTAAGGGGGAGCAAGAGAACTGGGTGGGGGGGAGTTCCAGCCTTTATGGAGTTTACAGTCTATAGGGGCTTGGGGCTCAATATTATGAATGAGAATCAATTCCTGAAAAATACCAGGCTGAGCATAATGAAGAACTAACGGTGTCCAACCCCCACAGCAGAATTTACAGAGAAGGGAGAGGTGACAGTGGGTCCTGCCCAATGGGCAGCTGTCGCAGAATGGAGGGGCCACATCTGGCCTGTGGGAGCAGCATGCACATAGGCAGGAGCAAAGCACTGTGGGGGTGCCCGCAAGCTGTTTAGCAGGCTGGACTGGGTAGCTTGTGCTAGGAGTGGAGGATATTTCAGTGTAGGACATCGAGAATCTGTGTCCGTGTGCACGGGCAGAGTGTGACTACAAAACTGATTAAGATTAATTACAATCTTGCTTTTTCCCCCCTCCAAATTCCCCCCAGAGGGCTGGCAACCCTGGTTAAAGAAAGACTTGTTTGGGTTGTCCTTGGGAGAGGCTGCCCTCTGGATCTTAAGTCCCCCCCGTGCAGCAGCCTGGAAGAAACTTGAAGGGTTTGCTAAGGATTCTGGGAAGTCACGTCCACGCACACGGCAGCCTGGAGCCTCTTCTCTCATTTCTTCCTTCAAACATCCCTAGAGCAGAAGTTGCAAATGAGCAGCTTACACATTCAACTCAGCTTTCCTAGAGCTTACAAGTTTTTGGAATTGCCAACATTTAAACATTGGGAGGTTTCTCAAGAAAAACATTTCCTTTTTTTTTTTTAGGTTCTTTTGAAATGTTTAGAAGGTTTGGCTGCACCAGGCCTCCGTTGGCACTTACTTGGGAACGATCAGTCAGCTAGAACTGGTTCTGGCTGCCTGTTCAGCTCCTCATCGGCAGCCCTCCTGAGACCTGCTGCCTGGCTCAGCCTGTTTTGGGGACTCTGCGTTCAGAGTGTGCATTCCCAACGGGGTGGTTCTGGACCCCCCTCCCCCCCGCCCCCCCGCCCCCCCGCAGAGGACTGCGGCACATAAACAGTACAGATGTGCAGTAGATCTGTGATATTAACGTTTCACGGGGGAAGGAGGGTAACAGGGATTTAAAAAAGCACAAAAGGGCTTCTTGTGGAGGAAGGAGGTGATGATAAAATAGTAGTCGAGAAGCTCTGGTTTGGAACAGAGCTGGCCACTTGGTACAGACGGACACGGGGAGGCCTGGCCTCCTGCCGGGAGAGAAGGCTGAGAGCCTTTCCAGGCTGGGCAGGGGAGATGCAAAACCCAGGGTGAAAAATTGGAAACTGGAGACTTTCCTTATAACGATATGGCTTTTAGGATGGTGCTTTTCTTCCTTTGGCAGGACTAAAAGTCACCTGATGGGGCCCAGGACATGCATTTTGAACAAGTGCCCCAGGTGATTCTGAAGCAGGGGATCCCTTGACCCCACAGACAGGGGCCTTCTCTATGTTTCTGGCCTGCCCGAGTCTAGGCATGGCCCCCTCTGCAAACTGCTGTCTTCTCTCCACTCTTTACCGTCCTTATTCACCAGGTTCCACTACACAGAAAAGTTGCTGTACCACCTGTGTAAGAGTGATGAGCCAAAGAGGCACTGTGAGGGGGGACCCCTGGGCAGGCACCCCATCCCATACCCTTCCCCAACCCCAACTCCACCATTTATGGCAAGTGGCAAATGCCTGGGTGTCAGCGGGCTGGGGTTGCCAGTATAGTCTGGAGCTAGGGGGAGAGTTTTTCTCTGAGCAAAGCTAAGTAGCCCTTGTGGGAAGTAAATTTGTTGCCTTCTATTAGCTCCATCTCTAGATCAACAGGAATCAACTGAGTTACGCAGCACGTGTGGGGCGGGTCTTTGATCTCGAAGAATACTGTGTTCTGCTTCAGCCCTGTGGCCTGTGCAGGTTTCTGACTTGGGTGGCAATTTTATGTAAATCCGTTCTATCTTACTTCTTCCCTTCCCCTGCTGCCTTTAATGCTTATGTCGTCTTCCTGGTTCCCCGAGACTAGCAACTAAATCTTGCTTGTGCCAGATTACTGACAATAACCAGAGTTGAACTGAAAGCTGTGGACTCTTACTCCCTGCACTGACTGACTGTCGAAGCTTTCACTCTAAAGCTCAGAGAGGTGGCTCCCTGCCCCACTGAGCCCAGGGTCTTCCGTGGGGCTCCAGACAAACACTCGTCACACCAGGAAGCTGAGTTCCTTCTTCCTCTTCTCACACGTTTCCCTTCTTGTCTTTTCCCTCGTTCTACTTAGAGAGCTGATGAGATAGGAATTCTGTGAAATTTAAACAGGTTGATGATCTGCTGGATAAAGGCCCAGGGAAGGGAAATCGGTATCTCCTTCTCTGCACAATTTGTTAACTGCTGGAGATGAGCTTCCTGGTTTTCCTTATATTTTACCCATAAAATCAGGTGGTAAAATGTCTTACTACAGTTTTCTCCATGAGTCCCAAGACTACAAAGGCCCCCAGCCCCATGCAAAGAAGGGGCCCACCCATGAACAAAAATCAGTTTCACCCTGATTACAGCATGTGGGACTTGTTTTCACACTTTGGGAGAATTCATGAGGTGGTGTCCGTAAGGTGTTTTTGAATTGATAAAAAAAATTTATGCTTTTTTTTTTTTTTGATCCTAAAGTTTCTGTCTTAAACTCTTGAGGATTCCGCCCCTCCCACTGTTGGAACAATAGCCCTTCCTTAAGGGATATATGCTTTTCTATCTGAGGAGGGGAAACGAAATGGGAGCCTCTTCCCTGGGTTGTGACTTCAGCTCTCAGTCTGGCTCAGAGGTTGACATTCCATCCTGGGATAGCTCAGTCTGGTTTTCCCTTATCCAGTCTCCTGGCTCAGGGAGGTTGGGTTAATTTCAAGGAGGATTCTGAGGCCACCTTGATGGGGACGGGGACCTCAGAGGGATCTCTCAGATCCCCTACTGGGTCGATCCAGCACGAGGGCAACCCGGTCTGGGATTTCTCTGCATTGAGCAGGAAGTGACACCTTTCAGAGAAATTTACTCCAGATGAAGTCAGCCCAATATATTAAGTACAGGTTCAGGAAGCCACAAGAAGGATGGCCAGGATCTGCCCCAAATCTGACCCTTGCTAGAGAAGCCAGAAGATCAACCTATATAGAGATTAACTGGCCCAGAGATTTAGAATCAACTGGCATTGAAAATTGGCAGGATTTCATAAGCATGACGTCTCCCAAACCAAATCTGGACTGCAAGGGCTGAGAAATAAAAGATTTTTTATGGGAACTAAATGCAAATTGGGTGAAAACAATCCTGTTCTGCAGAATCTGGTTGTGTGGTCACTGGGTCCATACCGAACTGAGCGCTGAGGATGGACCGGCACAGATGTTTTGTTTTGTTTACTTTTTAAAATTTAGCTCCTTCCACCAGTTGACATGGACATCAGTATAAGGGGTTGCTAACTGGGTCGAACCGTCACCATCCATCAACATCATCCTTCTACAACCTCTGCTTGTGGGATTTTTCTATGAAAAACATGCAACTTTAAAGAAGCTGCCAAGTATGAATTAACGGTCTTATGTAAACACCCATCTGCTTTTTTATGCTATTCTCACAGCAAATAATAGGCATATTTACCAAATATTTCTGAGAAATAAGAAACCACTTAAGAATGTGCAATGTAATTTGGGAGAACAGTTTACTTGCAATATGGTGACTTCATTGTGGAAAACAGTGTGAGTTGTGATCATGGGAATCAGGGGTACCATAAGCTATCACCATGCATCTTTATGTTCACTTTATGGCTTGTTTTTTCTGGTAATAGCCAGCGGTCCTTTGCTGTCTGAAAAAATCAAGTTTACTGGCCAGGGGTTTAAAGAGTGTGTACTGAAAAACAAAACAAAACCAAACTCAGCAAAGAATTAAAAACCCCAAAAGCTACCTGTTTTTAAACAATACTGTGTAAATCTTGAGCCAGTTTGGGACATTTCTCAAGTCACTTGTTTGACTCTGTTAGACTTTCCAAAAGCCCTTGCTTATAGAAACTATATTTACTTCTGATGACTGTGGCAACCGAGCAAGGTATAACACAGGGCAAGCTGTGTGGGAACAGCGAACAGGTACCTACAGCAGATGTTCTTGGGAGTAAGGAGTGTGCTTATTTGGTAACACTGAGCTCAGATGTGGTGTTCCTTGCGCATGAAGATCCCGTTATCATTGCTAAGGCATTAACTCTGTGTTCTTTTGTCTGGAGTGGGGAAGATTTGGGGTGACTTTTGGTTCCATTTTCTCTGGAACGGTGGCAAGTTGCGCAGCCCTATGGTGCCAATATGTGACCATGGATGTGGGAGGGTTCATTGACCAAGGTCTTGACCACAAGTTCAAGTCCAGGTTGACCTGGCCTTGGTTTCTTGGAGGGATTTGTTGATTAACCATCCAACTCAATTCAAGAATTATTTATTCTAGCAAGTCTTTCTGTTCTGTCTCAACCTCTAAAACCAAGTTAACTATCAACTGTATTGCCATAGTCCCTATTCTTGTGTTGATCATAGCGTTCATTTCCCTTTATTGTAACTGTGTTTCTTTGTTACCAGTTCATGACTTCCCCCAGGGCAGGGAGCCCATCTTGCTTATTTTTGCTTTCTTAATTTCTATTCCTGTGCTTGGCATATACATGGCACTGTGTTTTTATTTTTAAGTTGACAGCCGCTGACGAAACCACACTTTTGTTCCCCTGTAATTTCATCTGTATCACAACTACATCTGAAGTAGGGGTTTGGTCTCCCCATATTATCCTATCTGCAGATTTGGTGAAGTTTCATCTCAGACAAAAATAATTTTAAATGGATATTTCATGCTTGACTATGACTTCAATATATGCACAATGTTTAGTTTTTCTCTTTATATTAGCTCAGGGAAAACCCTGTGCTTTAATTGTAAGGCCTATGCAGGCTTTTAAAGAATTATTTGAGGAATATTTAGGTGATTTGACATATACTGTCATTCAAATGTCACTGGATAAAATTCAGGGGTAAGCATCCGATTTTTGAAGGCTGCTGTGCTGTGTAGCCTGTGTATGACCCATTGGGTTATCATCCTGGTCCTGCCACCCATTAGATTTGTCACACAGAGTGTCACAGCCTCTCAACCAAGATGGGATGTGGTCCCTCTGACAGAAGACGGCCAAAATGGGTAGTACTTTCAGGATCTGACCGATGTCAGTTTCAAGATCTGCAAATGAGGATTTCTATGACCTCCTGTATTAAAATGGGCACAGTATTGAAGTGCTCTGAAAACCCTTCTTTACAAATCAAGTCTTAAACAGAGATTGGTTGGGAGAGTCAGCATCAGAGAAATGCTCTGTGTATCATTCATTGTGTAGTTGGGTTTTGAGACAGAAGGAAATCAATTAAACAACATGCTCAAAATCGGTAACAATTTTAAGCCCAGGAGTGGGTTTGTATAAAGTCTGACCCCCAGGGGGACTGCTTGCGCCTCCCCTATATCTGCTGGAGAAGGCTCCTCATTCAGGCTCTGCATATAAGTTTGGAGTTTCCTGCCTCAAGTGCATATGGGTAAAGGAGTCTCTGTCCCCATTCTTTATATTTCATATCAGGATATGTAATATGGTTCACTCATTATACACCCGGAACTTAGATGCCCCATTGGCAACCGTGCAGTTGAAATTCAATCTGTCCCATTAAGTAGCTCTGTGATGGATTTCTGAAAAAGGCTGCTCCTTTCCTGACCAGTTCGAGACAAGTGACTAGAAGGAACCCGGTATCATCCATCCGTCTGTCTGTGTGTTCAGCCACTCATTCATCTCCAACATGGACTGGTTACATTGTGTAAAATACTGTATTTGTGGGATGGTTTGTACTTTATTTCGTATTTACCTTATTTCTTCTCTATAAGATATTTGATCTCAGTTCCTTTTCTTATAGGACCAAAGCTTAAAGCCTATCCTAAATTTATGACTGTGCTGCTATTTATAACTAGAGTATTTTGTGGAAACTTATGCAGAATATCGAATTGGAATGATGTTGAAATCTTTCCTAACACCCCTATGAGGACTGTCTTTCTTGGGGAAAATCTGGCTATAATTAAATTAACTTTATTTATGATTTTATTCTAGTAAAACTAGAGTTTCTAGCCCAAACGAGAGGAGTTGTATATCTAAACAACCTATAATAACTGGTTGATGACAAACTCCAATATGTACCCTGAAACTCTGTTTGGTGCTGACCCATCTTTGGGGTCAGGAGCCTCCAGGCTAGTTGAGATAGTTGGGCATTTTCATATCTTCCCATAAGTCCTCATTCTCTTCTCCATTCCAAATCCTTCTTGCCTGAATAATCCATATAATTGAACTTATATGTAGGTATGCATACACATATATATTCTTTTTTTGGGGGGGGGTTGCTTGCATGGGGAGGGCATGGCAACGCTCCATTTTGCTTCTCATTACAGATGATACATGAGGATCCCTGCTGTTCCTGTTATAACAAGTTATTCATGACACTCGATCAAACACAGATACTCAGATGTGTCTTTATTTTATGGCACAGATATCTATGCAGTGCTTTAGCCCTTTAAACCTGTAATTACTGGATTTTCGGTTCCTGGAGAATTATAATCGAAGTGCGCATTCTGTGATTTTATTTATGGGTAAAAATTGCACCCAAAGGTGAACGACTAACCTGAAATCAGACCATTGTCCCATTCATCTCCACATGTTCTGATTTGCATGTGATACACACGCTGTCTTTACGTGGGGCCACATACCGTTTCTAAACGTTACATATATATGTGGCCCACTCAGGGAAGCAGACCCGCAGGCTTATTTTAGTTTATGAATGGTGGTTCAGAGATTTCCCATCCTGTTCCAGCCCGTGCAGCTTTCCCCACGTGCCCCTGGAGGCGGCTCATTGTGCACACACACCCACCCGCCCACGGGCACGGTCTCTTTTATTTCCTCTGACACCTACAAATAGAAGGCAGGGGACTTCAAACGCACGGAAAAGCAGCTTGACCTGCTGGCTGAGTACCTGTTGTTGGCGATTTCAGTTCTGAGCTCTGTGGCTTATGGCCTGCAAGCTGATCAGCTTCTCCCTCCTGAAAGCCGCAGGACTGACTCAGCATGGCAGAAAGCTCTTGAGATAGAGACCCGCCCCTGCGCGCACCCATGAAGGGGGCGTGCTTCGGGGGCCTGTTTCCCTAAGGAACCATCTGGCCCTGGGCAGAGACCTTATTCCGGTAGTGGCCTAGAAAGGCCGGGAAATTCCTCTTTGATGTTGAAAGAACGAGAGAAAGAAGGACGGAGGGATGGTGGGGAGAGAGAAAGGGAGGGGAGAGAGAGAGAGGGGAGGGAAGGCATTGCAGATAGGCAACAAGAAGACCACCGTGATTTCACCGAGCCAGAAAGGATACTTACTGCTGACTAACTGGCCCACGCTCAAAGCTGAAGAAGAGGAGGATGAGGAGGAAGAAGAGGAAGCCTGCCGGATGGGGCTTTGAGACATGGATGCTTGGCTGTGAGCCAGGTGCAGAAGGCTGCTTTGGGAGGCTGCTTGACCCACTGACGTCTGCGAGGCTTGGTGGAGCTACATGGAAGGGGGATGTAAAAAATACACACGAGTGAGAAATCGGAGGGTGGAAATGCCAGGGGATAGAAGTTTCATCTGGGGTTGAAGCATTGTATTTCCAAGAACATTATACTGCTCAGGAACAATGCAAACTCTATACACAACTGGCGGGATTTTTTTTTTTTTTTTAGTATATAATATGTTGCAGCTTGCTTGACAGGCATTTTATTAGTAATCCTAAATATATTATTAATTCCCTACTTGGCTTGCGGGAGCACCCAATTTTCTACCTTTCTCGAGCACAGCATGTGGCTGCACTCTTTTCTGCCTGTTCACGCAATTACAGCGCACGTGACCGGCGGCCCAAGAGGTACAGATAAAATACAGCGCTTGCCGTCACCTCGGAGTGTGCAACTCAAGCTCATGGGTGTGGCTGCGCCCGACCAATTTGGCTTCTGTAACTGGTATTTTTAGGAAAGTTCCCATTTAGGCTGAGTGTGAATTGAGTTTGGGAACTTTCTGCTCTCCCCTCCCCCCTTGCCCCCCCATCAAAGAGTCTGGCTGGATTACTGTAAAGTGGGGAAGAACGTTCTCTGATGTCCTACAGGAAACGGAGAGGGAAGCTGGGGCAGCCGGGACAAAAATATCCAGTAGTATTTGTAGCTTTCAGTTGTCGCTTTCTTACTCCGTGCCACCCTGTGTTAAGGACTTTGATGCCCTTGCTCATTTCTTATATTGGCCTGTGAAGTGGGTGCTATTTTAACCTCTCTTTTGCAGACAAAGAAGTGGAAGCTCTGAGAAGTTAAAGGGTTTTGTGGGTTCATCCGGTAGGTGTAGGGGGGCTGGTGTCTGGACACGTGGAGTCTGACCTGGAGGCTCGAGCTCTTAATCACCATGCCAGAAGCAAGAATTAACCTAATTTTCAAAATTCAGTGTGCCTCGAGAAAGGTTGTCTTTATGTCCATTTATTCATGACTCCTTTAGAGGTTCTCAAAGGCCTGTTGTTCTGGGTGGTGAGGGAAGCCCAGCACAGGAGAGGAAGGTTGGAGGAAAGGGAAGTGATTGCAAGTACCAGGTCCCCTTGGAGGCCCAGGAGGGATCCTTCTCAATCTGTGCTTGCCCCCCCCATGCCCGGAAGCTGACACAAAGGGGGCAGCTCAAGACCCTGGACAGGTGCACGATCAGCCTTAGCCATTGCGCCCTTTATGATTGGAGATAGCCCTCCTTGGTTTACAAACTGCTTTCGTGGCCATTGTCACATTTACACAGGTATAGCAGAGTCTGTATAAAAGGAAGTCAGCCCGGGAGTAGAATCAGGTCAGGCCCTGAACTTTGGTGGGCTTTCCCACCAAAGTTCACGGCCTGACCTGATCTCTGACCACTTGCTCGTGATCTGATGGTCAGCCTGGGACATGTCAACTTCACATTTGTCACTGCCTTCCCTGTGTGTGTGTGTGTGTTCATTTTTTCATTCAACTTTATCGAGAGATCATTTATACATAATAAAATACACCCATTTCAAGCATGCAATTTGATGAGTTTTGTCAAATAGATACATCTGTGAAACGAGCATTGTCATCAAGACATAGGACCTTCCTTCCCATCATTCTGTAAAGTTCCCTCATCCCCTTCGCAATCAATTTACCCCCAAGGCCCAGCCCCAGACAGCCACAATGGACCTTCTGTCACAATGGCCTCATTTGGCACGATTCTAAAAATGGAACCGTACAGTATGTGCTCTTCTTTTATCTGGCTTTTTCTGCTGGGATACTGGTTTTAAGATTCGTTTTGTTGCATGCGTCAGCAGCATCATCCCTTTTTATTGCTGAGTAGTACGTACAGTATGTATTTGTAGCGTACATCTCTATGCTTACATAGGTATCTATGCCGCAGGTTGTTTATCCATTCATCTGTTGATGGACACTTGGGTCCTTTCCAGCCTGGGACCATTATGAATAGAGCAGTCATAAACACTTACGTACAAGTGCTTGTGTATACCTGTGCTTTCATTGCTCTTCTGTAAACACCTGGGAGTGGAATTGTGGAATTCCTTCATCCTACTATAAATGCACGTTGAACTTTTTTAAGAAACTACCAGACTGATTTCCACTGTGGCTGTAGCATTTCATATTCCCACAAGAAATGTATGAAAATTCCAGTTGCTCTCTGTCCTTACCAATGCTTGGGATTTGTCAGTCCTTTAAATTCCCTAATGTGTTTTAACCATCAATTAACATTTTACCTGCAAACAACTGTTAGTAAAATGCTACTTTGGAAATGCATAAGGAGCTCTCTCTCCTTCTGGTCCCTCGTGGTAAAGCTTTTGCTCCCCCGGGTTCACATGACATCCCTATGCAGCAGATATACACCTAGCATGATTATGAGGAGTAAATGACTGGCCCAAGATCATGTGGTTCGGAGCACATTAGAATCCGGGCTCTGATTCATAGCTCAGGGCTCCTTCCGGGATGCCATTTTGTCCCCCTTCAGAATTGCTTGAAGTTACCTTTCAAGTGCACATCCTTATAGTTACCAAACTGTGCTAAGTGGAGGCTATATTGTGAATAAAAGATAGTGATAATTGACACGGAACCCAAATTAATATGCATCAAGCATCTGCCCCAAAGTAATTAGCCAATCTGCCGAGCACATAATCAACAATTGAATCCAGTAAATTTTATTCTGTAGGGACACATATTAAAGATTAAATCTATTTTTAATTTACTTAATAAAAGGTGATGGATATTTGCATGTCAGTCTACCCCTTCTAACTTATTGAGTTGTCCTTCTAAATACTGTTACTTGACAAAAGCTTTTCACAGTTTTGAGTCACTGAATCATGAGATAGCCTTCCGTTTTACCATTCCATCAATATTTTATTGGCCCTGGGTGTGGTAAAGTACCATCAAGGAACTGGGTAAGACAATAATCAATTGAAATTTTTCTTCCTCAGATACAACTCAGTAGAGAAACAAATTAATGGGCTGCAGTCTCACTAAGGACACAAAAAAGCAAACTAGGGCTTATGCCTTAAGCTATGCAGCAGAAAGAAATTCAAGAGGAAAGTAAAATAGTTCTTTTAAGAGCTTGTCCTGTGTCCACACAGTGAGAGAATGAGATGACTCTAAGATACCTAAGTATCTAAGAAAGATACATTTCTTCCAAAGTAAATACGCATTTTTTTAGGACATTGGGGTTCTGCTTTCCCTCCAGAGTTTAACCAGACAATATGGAATAACCAAGAAAAATTCTGAAAAGTTTTTACTTGTCAAGAATCGAGATTATATAAGCAGTAGCTTCCTCATTGGAGCCCGTATGTCTCATTCCAATGTAGGGAATGTATAGACATGTATCTGTTAATTCTAGAATCAGATGGAATAGCCTTTTGTACATATCAAAACGAGCCCAGAGACTGACCCTCTTTTATCACTTCTTCCCTCAGAAAAAGAGGATGTTAGAGTAATACTTCTCTTACTTCCCATCCCTAGCACTATAATTCTTTCAGGTAAATGACAAAAAAAAAAAAATAGCCTTATCTGTGATGTTCTTAGTTTAATGAGAAATATGCTTAAAAATATATGTATCATCGGAAAAATGAAGGGGGGGAAATCGGAGGGGGAGACGAACCATGAGAGACTATGGACTCTGAGAAACAAACTGAGGGTTCTAGAAGGGAGGGCAGTGGGAGGATGGGTTAGCCTGGTGATGGGTATTAAAGAGGGCATGTATTGAATGGAGCACTGGGTGTTACATGCAAACAATGAATCGTGGAACACTACATCAAAAACTAATGATGTAATGTGTGGTGACTAACATAACATAATAAAATTTAAAAATATATATATGTATCAAATAAAGAAAGGGAAAGCAGAGATTTAAGCTACTTCATGAAAGAACTTTGGGTTTCAATATAGAAATTTCAAAGACTTTAAATAAGCAACATTAGAATTAGATTTAATTCTGTTGTTTTTCAGACCCTGACTTAAATCTGAAAATCCTGTATTACTTATACTGTGTAATTACTGGCAAAAGAAATAGGTGTGTAAATGCCTCATACATAACTGGCCATAAAAAGTGGCATAGTTCACCAAAAGATAGTGCAGGGTATTAGGGAATAAGGAGAAGCCTGAACGAAAAGCTTCTTTCCTTTTCCTTCCTGGAGAGAAAGGGGGACTTAGAAGCTTCTATGAAGGCAGATGTTTTATTACATTGGCTTGATCTTGAGAGGCCAACTGTATGGATACCATTGATGAGATGCTTCCCACGGGTCTTTATGTAGACTTTTAAATCTTGGTATTAGCCCTCTTGGTTGGTATTGGTGTTGTCCTTACAGAAGAGGAAACAGACTTAAGATGGCTTATCTGGGGTCACACAGCTGATATAACTGAGTTTTGAGGCCAGGGGAGTCTGACTCAGGAGCCAGCGCTCCTTCCAGCAGGCACACCACTGCCCCACTCCTGTCTACCCCTGGAGACAGGTATGAGTCAGGAAGACGGCAGGAAGCTCTAGCTGGATGGTGTGGGAACACATGAGATGTGTTCAAATTGGTCACGGTGAGCTACACACTAGAGTTGATCAGCGCAAGCGTAGATCATGGTCTATCATTTTGAACATATCTCATCTGTTTCACTAAATATGACAATTTAAGTATTTTTCTAGTTTAGGATTATTTTCTATAGGTCCTGAAGTATTTAAAAATGTCAGATTTTTTAGGAAAACATGGTAGTCAGAGATGGCCAGAGCACTATGATTTTGGTGTCATCTGGGACACATCTTGGATGGAGTCGCCTATAGATTGTCCTTTGCTTAATGTAATGAGCCCCAGTTATTTGTTATACCTCAAATTTACTTTTCTCAGTATCCTGTTTATATGATCATATTTTCTATTTATTCACTATACCCCCACTGCACTGCCTAAAGGAGCTGGAATTTGTTTCCATCTAAGTTCGGGGAATCACTTTCTTGCCTTTTATTGAGCTGTAAGTCAGATGTAAATAGGCTGTGTTATGGGCTGAAAT